CACACTCTGTGCCAGATTTGAGTCTGTTTATTAAAGCCGGTGGCCGAGGAGGGCTAGTGCCCAGAAAGCTCTCTTGGCAAAGGGAAGCAGTTTGATTTCTCCTTTAAATCATGCTTTCAGTTGGGGTGTGCTCAGGGGAGAGCAAGTGGAACCTTACAGAAGCAGAACTATGCCAGGTTAGTGGGGGTATATGAGAAAGTTTCACATACTAGGTGAGCTACAAAACTTCCTGTGACAGCAGCAAGTTTACCACCAAACAGGATGTGGGTGTTTTGGGTGCTTTGTTCAAGCACAGGTACAAAATAGCGTTGAGGCACAAGATGGAGTCAGGTTGGCTGCAACTTTAGGGGAAGGTGAAGGGTTCTCCAAAAGAGGGTGGAGTACATAGGGCAGAAGGTCCCAGCCAAGCATTTGCAAGATTCTGAAATATCCATGCATGTGGTAAGCGGGAAGGGTTTTTGTTGTTGTTCCAGTACTGGAGCTTGAACCTGTGGGCTGAGTTCTATCCCCAGGCTTTTTCTTTCTTCCTTCCTTTGAGTGAGGGTCTTGGTCTTGTTAGTTTGCCAAGTTGGGAGTTAACCTCGTGACCCTACTGCCTCAACCTCCTTAAGGCTGGTATTACTAGTTTGTGCCACCGTATCTAGCTCAGCATGCATTTTTATAAACTGAAGATTTCCCCTCTCTGTGTTGATCGTTAGAGACCTCATTTGGTTATAACAGCATTGCAGAGCTCAGGACATGGACCTTTTAAAAAATGAATGCACCTCATTGCTGGGCGTGGTGGGACACTCCTTAATCTCAGCACTTGGGAAGTGGAGGCAGAAGGATTGCCTCAAATTTGAGTACAGATTGGATTACAGAGTAAATTCAATAGCATAGCCAGACTCTGTCTCACAAAGAAAACAAAACAAAAAAAGGCACCTTGAGACCATCATCTTAAGTTAAATAAATCAGACAAACAAATTTAAACACTACATTGTTTCTCTTGTGTCAGAAACCCAAAGAATAAATAATCAGAATGGAGGACAGATGCAAGAAAATAGGAAGAACTTGTTCAAATGATAAAGGGGAGCAAGAAATGGGAGTAAGGGAGTAGGAAGGAAAGAAAAGGGGTTTTAAAGAAAAGACAGGAATTGAAGGAAACAGAGGACATGGATTTTGCAAATGGGGAGGGGAAGATGGGTTGGAGGGGAGTGGAAAGGTCCGAAAAAAAATGAAGATGATTTATGTGCATGTACAAATTTCCTAAGATGAATTATTAGTACAAACATGTAGTAATACAAAATAATTTAAAGTAGGACGCAGGACTAAAATAAGTAGACATCTACTAAAGTCAAGTTTAATATGCAACATGTAAAGGAGAGTTTTCAGGAAGAAAAGAGAGGGACTGGCACGTTTTGATGAATTAGGAATGAGAGCCACGAGGTGGGGCAGTGTGGAGCCGGCTTGTTGACCTCCACTTGTTGACCTCTAAAAAATCAAGTGGGCACAGAGGAGAATGGATCCGAGGAAAGCTGAGAAGCAGGATGGAACGGTAATGGAGCAGGTCCCATGGAATTTGGAAGGAGCCTGTTGGAGGCGAGACGGAAGGTTGCTATTTGGTGTGAACTACTTATTGAGAAAAAAATAAAAAGAGCTGAGCCGAACACTGAACTATTGGGAAGAAAACAAAAATCAGAGTGGCCAGTCTCCAGTGATGGGGAAACCTTTAGAGCTTTCAGTGATACGGAGAGCCTGCTGTGGCACGTGTGACATAGGTTTGCCACTGCCGTTGGTCTCCTCTTCTTAGAGCTTGACTTGTTAGGAGAGTGAATCTCTGTGCATCAGGACTCAGCTGTGTCACCATCTACATCACCGGACAGCATGAAAATCTAGTCTTTGGACCAGCGATATAACGAGTCTTCATGCATTCGTAGAAGCTCATTTAAATAAAAATGGGGGAAGAGGAGGGACACATGGCTCCCTCTGAATTCTGATGAATTAATATGAAATTAAAATTTTTTAGCGAAAAAAACCACCTTTTTATTTTCCACTAAAAATTGCTAATCTGTTGCATTCTGGTATCAGAAACATGATCAAGGATCACCCCCCTCAGCTTCCCAAGGCATCACATAGGGACAAAAATGCTGGCTTGCACACTGTAAGCACGGACGCAAATAGACACTGATGTAAATGGCACCACATAAACCGGAAACAATAAAACACGTGTCACTCGTCACAAGCAGGCGGCAGGCCATACTCACAGCTACAGGCCACTGTAAGTGCAGGAATTTCCTCGGAGGTGCCAGCACCTCCTTCTAGGCCAGGCCAAGCCAATGTCCACAGGGGTCAAGGGCAAGGCTACACTGGGTCACCACAGAAAGCCACAGAGCATCTCTTCCTGACTTTTATATCCTTGAAAAGCAGAACCTGGGTTTTTTCCCACAACAGACAACTTGGCTGTCCCCAAAGAGGGAGCTCTCATGAGGCATCGTGGGTCGGCTGTGGGTTGTGCTCCTCACGTTCAAGCGTTCACAGTGTTCCATTTAATCATTGCTTCAAACGGTGAGGTATGGTTGTTTTTCTAAGAGATGATTATTGCCTCCCAGACTCCACCAAGGAATAAATACTCTGTGAAAACAACTGTAGGGAGCAGTGGGGCAGGAAGTACACAAAGGAGAGATGCGTCTGCCGCCAGTGCCACCTCTCCCGCAGTGCAGGCACATTCTGGCACAGGGAGCTGTGCCCCATGTAGATAGAAGAGTCTCTGTCTCAAGAAGGGGCCTGCCTGGCCTCTTGCTTCTCCTGCAGCAGTGGAATGATCAACTCCCCCGCCATGAGGCACTTCTCATAACACTGGACATTCTTGTCAGCCAAGCCCACGAGCAGCGCCCAGTGTCCTGCCCCTTGTCGTTCTGCCACCTTCCACATCAGGCTTCATAGAGGCACTGAAACACTCCATGCGATCCTGACACTCTTTCCACGTGTGGCCACTTTGGGGAGATAAAGCCGGAGCTTCCAGTTTGGTTTTGTAATCTGCTTGAACTGAACTTGATCTCTCTTCAGGATGCTCTTCATGAAGTCAGAGTAGAAAATATATTCCCTGAAGAAAGGAAAAAAATATGAAAAAAGGAAAAAATGGAAACAAAGTCTATGTAAATAGGGAGGGGTGGAGGCACTGAAGGGAGGGCAGGGGAAAGGGGAAAAAATAAGAACCAAGATGGATCATGTAAAGGTACAAGCTCGCAGTGATGAATGTAACTGTATTATATGCCTAAAATGTACCCATGAACTTAATGAAAAAAATACATGCCCTGAGCAGAGGTACAAAGTTTTTTGCCATGTTATCTGTCAGCTCTTGCAAGGCTGTAGAGCAGTTCCCGATGCAAGGTGACATTTCCTCCAGGTCCTCAGCCAGCTCACCTTCTAAAGTGCTTCGTGTGGATTACACAGGCCCATAGTCTACAAGGTACTCTATTTCTTCCTTGATGATCCGTTGGGCTGTCCGATCAATGGTTCCCAGCTTGAGTGCAGAAGTAGCTAAGTATTCACCTTTGGTTGCAAACTCAGTGGTGGTCTCCTCAGCTTATAGCCTCCAGTGATATGTTTGACAGACTCACCCACTCTGGTCAGCCACATTATTCCCTGATTCCTGCAGGCATTTAAGTCCTTAGCAGTAAGAAAAACATTAAAATGTTCACTGAAAGACAGCCCAAGATGCTTTGTAATTTTTTTTCAAGAATTTATCCAAAGCTTTTCTCTGGTCTCCATAAACTGTTTTTACTTTTTTTTTTTTGTTTTTTTTTTGTTGTTGTTTTGATACAGGGTCTTGCTATGTAGTTCAGGCCAGTCTTGAACTCACTACATAGCCCATGCGGGTGAAGAACTCTCATTAGTCCTCCTGCCTCAGCCTCCCAAGTGCTGGCATTACAGGCATTCACAATCATACTCATCAGAGAAAGGAACTATTATTCCTTTCATCAAAGACTTCTCAGGAAGTGGGGAAACAAGAAGGGCTGCTATTCTTGACTGGCTCCTCAACTAGTCAAAATCCTGGTATCTTCGACCAACAGAATATTCTGCCCGAGTATTTTTGGTAGTGATCCTATATGTGATGTAGGACCCATCGCACAGACATGCTTCTTGGGGGCTTCCATGGTGACAGAGATCTCTGGCCTCACTATCACCATCACGGTCAAGCAGAAGTCTATTCAGAATGGAAGATGAAAATGCTGGACCAAAATCTGAGATGGATGCCAACTTTGGGCAAAATATAGCCTTGTCACTGAAGCTGAGGCCACCAGCAGGTTCGGGCTGGACATGCTGTCGCCTCCCACGGCTTCCTCGCTGCTGGAGCAGCATTTGCACTGGAGTAGGGCCCTAGGAGGGCAGGGCCTTGAGGGATCTGCCCATCACAGTAGCCGCTGGTGTTTGTTCTCGCTGTCCGCGTCCTATAGGGCTCCAAGGCCTCAGACGAAGGTCTGGTGGGCTCCTCCCTCGCAGACACTGCCCCTCTTAGTTCTGCCGCGCATATGCCCACCTCAGATCCTTCCGCGCCTCAGATTCTTCCGCACTTTGGCAGCCTAATGTGAACTAATTTGTAAGCATGGGTTGCGTTTTCTGTACACGGAAGGCCAAAAACAAAATCCTCCCATGCATCGTTGTCTTCTCCGCTCCTTTGGGAAGGTACACAGGCCCATAGGTGGAAAGGGAACTTCAGGCTTGCAGTTTCCTCAGCTGGAAAGTGGAGATTTGGCTCTCACGGGACTTTTTCCAAGGTAAAATGGGTGGGGGTGTTGTATCCCAGCACTGCAAGAGGCTTGTTGGAGACCAGACTGGACAACATGGTGACTTTGTGAGAATCTCTCCAAGTTAAAAATGAAAACGAGTGGGGCGGGGGTCAGGGATTTAGCTCAGTGGTTCCGGCGCCTGCCCTTCAAGCGCAAGGACCCGGGTTCGATCCCGGGTACAAAAAAAGGGGGGGTGGGGGTGGAGGTGCAGCTCAGTTTGAAGATCCTGAGTTTGGAAAGAAGAAAAAGATGAATTAGGCAAAGTGATGTCCATAAAACATTAGTCTTCTCTGTTTCCATGTCCTTAATATCAATCTGGGTTTTCTGCTGCCTCTAACCTCGGTATTCCATGACCAAAAGCAAACCGAGTGAGGTGGGCGGGGGCGCCTTCCTCCCTTCGCCAGCAGCCGGGAGTCACCTAGGTTAAGGGCCACAAACATGGGGCTTGGGTCAGGGATCAGGCTCAGCCTAAATGACTGATCTCAGTGTCCTCAAGACTGAGCGAGCACAAAACTGTAATATTTGAGGCCAGCCTGGGCTACAAAGCAACGCAAAGCAAAACAAAACCCTCCACCATATACTTTAAAGATCACCAGAGGAATGGAATCTGCTCGTGAGTTTCAGCCATTGCATTGTCGATGAGTGAAAAGTTCAGTTCCCTAGAGCAGAACTGTCTCGGGTAGGGCGGCGCTTAGGGCGGTGCAGGCCTGGGCGGGGCTATCCAGGGTAAGGGCTACAAAGGCTCCAGGTTTTATTTAAAAGACGCTGCTCCAGAGCGCCCACTGCCACTGGGAGACTCTGCAGAGCACAGCGGCTCCCACAAGGACCCTGCATCCAGGTAGCACAAGGGATTAAGGGCGGCTCTAGCACCCTTAGAGACTGTGGGCTGAGGTAGCCGTACAGAGATCCTGGCCTGCACCGCGACCAGGCAGCCTGTGAGCAGCCAGCAAGAACGAAGGCAGCAGAACTGCCTCAGAAACCCCAGACTGGACAGAGACCTCATACAGCAGTTTTCATGGAGGCCAAGGGTGAGTTTTGTTGGGGAATTGAAGCGTGTTGCGTTTTTGCCAGGCTGTATATCTGACCGGCTAGTGGTTTTGTTTTGTTTTTCGGTTTTCTTGCTGTTTTGAGAAAGAATCTTGCTCTATACTCCAGGTTGGCCTTGTACTTACTGCGTAGCCTAAACTGGCCTTGGATTTGAGGTCATCCTTTTGCCTCAGCCTCCAAAGTGCTGAGATTACAGGTGTGTACCGCCACACCCAGCCATTTCACTTTTGTTTTTCAGGGATTAGCTTTGGCTCAAAGTTTTCCTATTACATCTTTGGCCATTTCAGGCTCTTTTTGCATCGTTATAATCTTGTCTTCCTTATGTATATTACTTTTTGTTTGTTTGTTTTGTTTTGTTTTTTTGAGACGGGGTCTCACTATGTAGTTGAGACTGACCTGGAACTAAGTATGTAGTCCAGGCTGGTCTCGAACTCACAACAGCGATCGTCCTGCCTCAGCCTCCCAAGTGCTGGGATTATGGGCGTGCGCCATCACGCCCGGCTAAGCTCAATCAGGGAAGTTTCCAGTTCTTGAATTTTCTGTGGTCAGCTGTGCAGACCTTGGATGTTCTGGTCGTGGGGCAGGATTTTGTGGGCGCCAGACTCAGGGGAGATCAGGGCCTGGGAGTCTGGGCAGGGTTCTGCTTTTCTCCCTCACTGATGCCAGGCCCTGGTGATGCGGCACCTCTCTCCTCAGACTACACCCATTCACTTGTTATCTTGTTATTCCAGAAGTTATCCACTGGAGAAACGCTAGCATTTGCTTTGCCGTGTCATTTTTAAGCATTTCTATGTCAAAATGAGTACTCCATAGATGGAGTCATTTTTTTCCCCTCTTGCTATTGTTGAAATTCAGTCTTTATGTTGCGAGGGTCTTTTTCTGAGAAGTCTTTGAGAATTTCCTCAGTGGGTACAGCTATGTGCCGGTTGTTTAAGGCACCTGGATTCTATGCGGTGTCCATCATAATCCTGCGGGAGGTGCTGTATTTTTAACCTGCAGTTAGTTCATCCTGCTTTTCAACTTCATTGGTGAAGCCATTTTAAACTCATCGATGGGTTGATGTCCTGCCTTTGTCATGGTTTCATGGCTTGGCCCATACTTCATTATCATGCCTGTGTGGAATTCGGTAGATCCCTCTGGTTGGAAGTGAGAAGTTTCTGTTTCTGGTTTGTGGGGATGGATGGGAGAGGTTTGTTTTTACTCTAATTGAAAGGTGTTTCTGGGTTTCACTTTTCTTCTCCAAGTTGAGACAATGTATTATCACTGCTGGGGAAGGCAGGCGCAGCTTGCTCTCCTGGGCATGCGGGGTATGAGGGCAACGAGGCCGGCACAGGCAGACACAGGCTACGCTTGTCCCACGGACGAGTTTAGGACCTAAGCCTTGTTGAGGCTGGGGGCGTCCTCTGGGGTGGGGGTGGGGGGGTGGAGCGACGCCCGGGGAGCGGGAAGAAGGGAGATGACAGCTGTGATGCTCTTCAGAGTCTCAGAGACTTGCCTTTCCTCATGGTGTAATCTCCCTAACATTTTCATTCTTTAAGAATACTTCACTAGGAACTAATTACAATAACGGCGACTCTTAGTATGACTCCCTAAGAGAAATGTACTGGGGTGGGGGTGGGGGGGTGGAGCGACGCCCGGGGAGCGGGAAGAAGGGAGATGACAGCTGTGATGCTCTTCAGAGTCTCAGAGACTTGCCTTTCCTCATGGTGTAATCTCCCTAACATTTTCATTCTTTAAGAATACTTCACTAGGAACTAATTACAATAACGGCGACTCTTAGTATGACTCCCTAAGAGAAATGTAGTCTAACATCGAAAATTACACCGCCAGTATTAATCATTAGCGTGAAGCATGCTAAAATGTAGCTTTTAAGAAGCATTTTGCATTATTTATAGCTCCTTAAGTGAATTCTTGCTTAAACAGTGAAATTCTGTCCTGGAAAAGTAGAAGCTATTTGTAACTAGAACAGCACAACTGTGAAAGTTTTATAAATATATATTTTAATGCTGAATGGTGAACTTAAGTCTCCAGTAGTTAATGTGTGATTTAGAACACAGTGCTGATTTTCAAAGATCACCTAGAAACTAGGCGATTTGTTCTTTAGTCAGTTATGGTCTCCTGGGTACACATTTTGCAGTTAAAACTGTTTTCTTTCTGTTCCCAGCCCCAATCCAAACCAAGAGTACAGATCATGTACATGAAAAGGAGCGCTCTCACCCAGCTGCTATGAAAATGAGCCCTTCCCTGTTGAATTTTCCCCCCAGAAACAAATTTTATTATGGGAATATTTTGGTGTCCTTTAGAGATGTGTAATTATTTTTTGTTTGTTTTTTGAGACAGGGTCTCACTATGTAGTTGAGACTGACCTGGAGCTCACTATGTAGCCCAGGCTGGCCTTGAACTCACAGTGATCCTCCTGCCTCAGCCTCCCGAGTGCTGGGATTACAGGCGTGTCCCACCACGCCCGGCTAGACATGTGTAATTTTAAAAGTAGTGTCATTACGTAAATTTCTACATTCTTGAAAAAAAAATTCTCAAACTGCTCCCTTCTGCTTCGAGTACACTTAGCCCATGTTCCTTGCCAGTTTCTGAAGCTTTTCTAGGATCTTCTTTGGTGAGTAGCTTTGCCAAGTGTGATGGGGTCACTGAAGGCTCCGGGGAGTGCCATTCACAGGAAAGGCAGGCTCATGTGGCCCTCACTCGGGCTCCTGTCCATAATTTCCTTCCGACCTTCTCTGTAGATTGTGGGGCTGCACTCGGCACAAACGAGCCACATCCGTGGAGCACTAATTATGTGTAGGCCTCAATCCCACAGCCTAACCTTCACCCTGTAATCTGCACTGAGGAGACGTGGATGGGGAAAAGGGGCAGGAAAACACGGTGGTTTGTTCTTTCTATCGGAGATTCCCTCCCCCACATGGCAGAGGAAAAGCCTGATAGGGGCAGGAGCTGTCCTTGCTGAGCATCCTCGCTGCAGGCTGACACTGCCAGTATGGGTCTCTACAGTGTAAGGAGCATCTGCAAATGAGGGAATGTACGCATATGGAGGCTCCTACAGCATGTTATCCTTAGGAAACTTGCTTTTGCTGAGTGCCAATGGGATTATTTCTGACCAGGTTGAGGAAGCCAGTACTTTTATTTTTTTTTTTTGCAGTGTAGAACTGATGTGGGCAGAGTTCCAGCAGGGCTGGCAAACAGCTTCCCAGTTGTCTGCTATTCCAGCGTCCCTTCCTCTCTCTCCTCAAACAAAATAAAACAAAAACTGTGCTCCCTTGTGTTATCTTATCCTTTATGCAAGGAAAGGGTTAAGATGCAACAAGTTAATGTGTTTTCAAGCACATTTCAAGTAGTTTTAAATTATAAACTGTTTCATGGCTTTATATTTCAGATTTTTTTCTTTTTGAGCTAGGTTTTCGGTAATCCCAGCTGGTGCTAAACATAGAGCCCTCTGTTCACACTTGAGGATACTATGTCACTGATCACCTTAGCAGATGCCCAGGGGGTCCAGGTGGCTCTGTGATCCTTTACACAAAGAATCCCACGCTTACCTTTCACTAAGTTGCTCTGTCTCTTTCTCCCATTTGTGTTACTTTTCTCTCCTTGCTGAGACAAAATACCCAACACTCCAACTTAAAGGGAAAGGTTGGCCAGTAGACACTGTGCTTCTGTAAGTTCCAGCTGCCCTTCCCAGGCCGTGAGTCTGTGCTCAGGGAAAAAGGACCTTAGGTGTTGCAATCTCTCTCTTCCCTCTGCCCCTTGGCTTCAGTCCTCACTTCAGATTGCTGCTGGGTCCCGGGATCCCACTTCCCTCTTGCTTGCCTTCCTCACATTGCTACATTCCAGCATCTGGACACCAAATCTCAGAGAGGCTCTTTCTCTGCTGCTCACCACTCTGCCTTCTTCCTGGAAGTCCCACTGTGGAGTTTAGCCGTATCCTTTCCGCTTGCTTTTCTTTCCTCTTCTTGTGCTGGACATTTGAGTCAGGGTCCTGCACCACGACAGGCAAGTGCTCCCGTTTGTCATTACATCAGCTACTGGTTTGTTTCATTCAATAACAAAACCAGGCCTTTAGCTCAAGTTTACATCTTGTTTAAAAACCATGATTCTTCCTCGGAACCAGGTGGTGAAAGTCTGCACTCAGGAGGATGAGGTAGGACCATTGCCATAAATTCAAGGCCAGCCTAGGCTACCTAGTGAGACCTGTCTCAAAAAACAAAATCAAACAAACAAATAAAAAGCATGATTCTAGAGTCTTAGCTCTACAGTGAAATACATCAAATGCTCACTCGCAGTCACTCCGTAGTTTTCCAGGTATCTTTGCATTGACTGTTTTGCTTTGAATGTGACACAACATATGACATTCTGTTAGAAACGTAATCCCCTCTGCCACAGTACTGATGGCTGTGTCCTTTCAGAAGTAATCAGATTATGGGAGCTCCAACCTCAGGGACGCAATGATGCCCTTAGTTGTCACTTGGTTTAGTTATCTAGTGGTGGCTTTGAATTAAGGCGAAATCTCTCTGGGTCTAAATTATCCATGTATAGATTCACGTGTTTATAAGTCTGGGCTGTTTCTTTGCATTGGGATTTCTGTTTCATCCTGATAAAGCAGGACATGCACTTGAGCATCTGACCCACTTTACGTGTACTCTGGGGACACTGTGCTCATTCACACTGATGCCACCACCATCACGGTGCTCCCACAGACTCTCTCCGTCCCCCAAGCCTGCCGCTTTATACCCATGACACAATGACTCATAGTCCTCCCTCTCCCCGGTCCCCGGAAACTACCATTTTATGGAGGTTATTCCTGTGAATCTAACTAGGCAGGCACCTATTATGAGCAGAACTGTTGAATAATACAGTCCTTTCTTTGGAAAATGGCCATAGAAGATACCCACACTGTGTTTCCACCCCTTGTATACAATGTTTCCAATTTCTGTACATTCTCAGCTACATTTTCCTGTTTTTTAAAGAATAGAAATCCTGATAGAGGTCTGTGGATTTGATTTTCATTTCCTTAGTGATGAGTGTTGTTAGACATCTTGGCATGGCTGTGTCTTTTTCATTGGTGCCTGTGTTTATATTCCAATAATTTTTGTCACACCTAAGAAATATTTTAATTTTCTGGAAATGTTAACCAGTGTCCTTTTATTTAGTGAATGTGTTTATTTTTAAGTGGGTCTTGCTGAGTTTCCCTGGCTGTTTTTCTTCAGAGCAAGGAATCTTCCTGCCTCAGGATTGAGAGTGTTAGAAGTGCGGGCCTGTGCTACCACACTTGCCTTAAAAATGTCATTTCCAGAAAGTCTCATTTCATCTTTGTTATCTTAAAATAGGCTTTTACTTTATCAGTAATGATCACTTTTAATAAGTATGAGGCAACAGTCTGATAAGCCTTAATTTATGAATCGTTACTCCAGAAATGATCTTTTTTTTAATGCTACCTGCCGTGCCTTTGTGTTTCCACATTTTTCAGGATCTTCAGGTAAAAAAGATGATCACAGTGAAGCACAAGAAAGACAACACAGAAGACAGAAAACAAGACCTCCACACAGATTTACGCAGGAGGAATTAAAGATTTTGAAACAATCATTTGAACAGAACCCTTACCCAAGTTTCACAACCAAGAGGGAACTTGCCAAGCAACTGCGCTGCGATTTGTGTGTCATACAGGTAAGTGCAATAGTCAAAGTTGTGCATGGATATATATATTTTGTAGATAATGCAGAAAGTGGAAGGAATTATGAAAATGTTTTGTAGAATGGTGTTTTATGTAACAGCGTTTACAGTCATTTTTATATGGTTCAGTATAGGCACGTATAATTGCATATACATTTTATGGAAAAAAGACTTTGGTAGGACAAACTCAGGCGCACGGGCCACTTAAGTTTCACTCTGAATGCCGATCTGTCTGTGCATACTTGTTTTGTGGGGCAGAAGAGCCAGTGTTTAAAGGTGTCACGTTCATTATGAATGTGACAATTTTATAGTAGGCAACAATGAACATATCAATGAGCCTTCTAGCCATTACACTGTTGCAGTTCTGAATGTGGAGGCAGGATCTAAAGAAATAATTGAATGCTCTCAGACGCTCCTGCCTGAGATCAAGCCTAAATGCCCCAACCCCAAGTCCACAGTTCATAAGAAGGGACAGTCTCCAAGAGTGTGTTATCATTTGATCGCTTCCCACAGAAATGTGGGGGGGGGGCTCTGATTTTCATGTAAGATTACCATGATTTTATGAAGCATCAGAAACAGAAGACTAGAATAGCTCTAGATGTTCAGGGTCACATGAAATTATTGTGCCCAGATCGTGGATCCCCAAAGACCACCAAAGTTTCCGGTTCAGTGCAATCACACAAGGAGTTTATTGCAAGCTCGAGCCTGGACTCTCGATTTCCACCAACGCAGTGGCTTCTGACCAAGAGCCCCGACCCCCTTACAAAGCACGGTTTATAGGGTTAGGGAGACTTGAAATTCTCTCTATCCTATTGGCCTCTTTTCTAATACTTTAAATCTATTGGATGTTGCTGGGGTGTTTGCGAAAGTGGAAGAAATGTTAGGTCTAGGGGAGGGGGATGGGGGTCAGTATATTCTGTTTCCTGCGGGCGGGATGTGGTGTGTTCCTCTTATCTGCACAGAACATCCTGTTTTTCTTCAAGGTTGGAGTGGCTTTTCTCCTACCCATCTGGTTCTGCTCTTATAACTAAGCAAACTAAGCAAATTTCTGTTGTCTGAGCTCATCCAGGGGTCAGGCCTGACACCAGATGGCTTTCCAGCTTAAAATGGAGTAACTTTGGGCTTCATAGAAATATTCTTCTTGGTTATGAGAAACTCTTACTTCTCAGCGTGAACTTTGACTACAGTGAATTTCGGAATAACACTGAGGGTACATTGACTGTGCAGGTATCATGGTAAGACAGTATAAGTAGAAATAGGTGTAGGAATGTCTTCTGGGGAATCTATTCTTTCTAAATGCTGAAAATTAGAAATAGGTTGCAGAGTGGTCAGGGGAAGATTTTGAACATGTTGATTTGCACATCAAGAAAAATCACTGACCATGGATGCAGTTCTCCTAACTGGAATTGTACACATTTCAAAGTTCATAAAAATATATTCATCCAAAGGTATTTGTCATATCTTCTCATGGACAGGAAGCAAGTTATTAATAATGCTTAGGCTAAGCTGAGCTACAAAATGTTCCTTCATTTAAGAAAAGCCTTTAGATGTTCCTAGAAAACTAAATTGCATTAATGCATTTTTTCCCTCTTTCTTTAGAATTGGTTCCAAGATAGAAGATACAGACTACCACCTAGAGAGAAAAAGAGACTCTTTGCCACCTGGAAATTAAATGGATTTTGTGTCCAAAGGTCTCAACCCCTGGGGTCCCCAAATATCCAGGTACAATCTGACAACTCTTCCATGAATCCGACTTCCTTGCATGACCAGGAGACAGCACCACAGGGAGCTGGCGACCCTTCACTGGAAACACAGACGATTCCCAGGGGATATTTTGACTCAGGTGACTCTGTAGTCCCAGGCATTAACAGGGAGCCAGGATGTCTCCTGGAGTATCAAGGTGCCCCAGCAAGTGGACCTTCTTCCACTTCCACACCAGACTCATTTATTTATCCGAATGCATCTATGCAGTACTTAGAAAATACCAGATATGAGGCAGGGGAAACCCAGCATGCTCTGCCTTATTTTTCCTATTATGCTTTCAATGGGCAGGGAACAGGCTGTCAGCAAGAAGAGCACAAGGCCCCTGATCAGTATTTGGTATTTCAAGGACAGCAGCCAAACGACTGGGGGTGCCATCTGCAGCAGCTGTCCCAGCCTTGGTATTACGAAGAGAATCGCCAGTTGCCATTCCAAGGCCATTTTTGGTCATTCCAGAATCCAAGTTATTTAGGACAAGAGGAGCTCAGTCTTCCATCAGAGCAGGAAAGCAGCGGAGGTGCCCTGAGCTCCCTGCTGCAGCAGGCACCTGTGCAAACAGCAGACAGGTCTCCACAACGTCTTGGAGAAGGGAAACAGCAAGTCCATGCAGAGCATCCTAGGTTTGAAACCCAGCAGCTTCACGATTTTTTCGGATTTCCACCGCTGAGACCATAAGTGGGTCTCCAGGGAATGGAAGTCCAGAAAAACAGTTGTAGATCACCCTGTCCACACCCAGGGAAGGGAAGGGAAAGGTCTTCTCCTTTGGAGAAACTCTCATTGTTCTTTACATGAACCTTTCCAGGCTGACTAATACAAAGATCTTGTAAATGTGTATGAAACAGTACTATGTTTTGAGTCACCGAATTCCATATGTATGTAATTACTACACTGGGCAAAAATGACACTTTTATGATCATTTAATGGCACTTGTATTTATTTTTATTTATTGCGTGGGTTAGAACTGCCATAGGGTATGGAATCAGTATAGTGAGAGGACACAGGAGAGTTTGCATTTCCTCATTTCAAGTTCCTCTTAGCGTGTGTATTTCCATATCTGCCAAAGGAAACTTTTGGTTTCTCTTTCAAGTTTTTAGTGCCCTCCGTTTGTATAACTTTTTTTTTTTTTTTTTGTATGGGGGACGGAACTTGGGCCCTTGCACTCGTGAGGCAGGTGGCAGAACCACTGAGCTAAATCTCTGGGCCTAACATTTGTTTTTTAAATGCCTTATATCCTGTAGTGCAGGAATTGTGGTTTTTTTTTCTTTAAAGTTTTTGCAGTCATTTAATTAGATTTTTCTTACAGTGAATAAATACTTTTGGAAGTAGGTATTGCACTCTAGTGAATTCTACCTCTGTCATATATCAATAGGGCCTTTAAAAAATGAACAAATTGTGTCTGAATAATTTTCCCAGGCTGTCTTTGAACTTATTGTTTTCCCAAGTACCTGGACCTACAGCCACATGCCTCCATTCCAGCCCAATGGACATTCCGTAAAGCCATAATTGAACTAATCCAAGCATATGTGATTCTGTATGGCTGGATTACTTTTTCTGATATTTCATTTCAAAATTTACTGTTATGTTCATATATATGTTGCACTTAATTTTTTTCACTGATTCTCTTTAGGTTTTGGTAGTTGTTAAGTTACTCTTATGAATTTTGTGCTTTTCTTATTATGTTAAATCTTTTACAAAATGTTATCTCTTCAATAAATTTTAAAAAATTTCAGGGACTGTGTCTTTATGGAAAGATTTCTATACATTCCCAATATTGAATAATTGTAAGACAGCTATTTCTCAATCCTCTGGAAGGTAGGCTTTTCCCAGAAAACATGCACTGCACCGAAGGTTTCAAGTTCCCTGCCACAAACTCATTCCAGGTATCCCTACACCTGTCGTATTAGAGCTCCTGCCCTGCTGCTTCCTTACAATTGTACCTTCCTCGCGGCGTTTGCTGATGTTACATTGCTAAAGGTTTCTTCCCAGCACCAGCATTCGCGTACTGCTGGGCTGTGGACCCACTGGGCCACTCTGAGGCTCCTGCAGTTCTCCAGCCATGGAACCACTCTTCACTTAACTTGCTCTAGGACTGAACCTGCCACAAGAAATTTTCTCAGTGAAGCTAGAGGAGGAGAGGTGGTGAACAGAGCGAGCCCAGGCCTGGAGTGCAGGGGATTTGCAGTTTCTTTTGCAAATACATCAGTACCACCTGGAAGGACCCTGCGAGTCTACAGCAGTTCCTTCTAACTTCCTGCTCTTGAGCCTTGGGATGTCCAGGTCTCAGTTCTTTCATGTTGGTTTTGACCTCTGTGCTTTTGGTGTCCGGCGCCCCCTCGTGGACACTGGTGAGAGCAGCGTGCCCGCCTTAGCAGGAGGACACTTTGCAGGATGGTCTTTCAAGCCCAAAGAGGGCCTCAGCTCTTGGAAGGGTACTGGGATTCACTCAGTGCTCAAGTCAAATTATAGGCACTGCAGAGCAAGGTGGGGGCACCGTTCTGGAGGGAGGGTTGCGGCTCATTCCCTACAGGGGTTGCTTAGAACTGCTTACAGGTTGTGAATGTAACACTTAGTTGTGGTTCCAAAGGATCAGCAGCGTGTGCAGAGGTGACCAGATGCTCACAGAGCAATGTCACTGCACTGGGACAGGGACAAAGGACAAAGACAGACTGAAGAGAGGCAGGTGCTGGGGCATCTGAGGGGCTTGACTGCTGAGGATTTTGAAGGTCCCTATAACCTTGTTGTCACTCCTTAAAAGCCTCTGTGCACTGCAAGTGGTGCAGATCCACTCCGTTCCTCTCTGCCTCTTCTGTCCAGCTGTGGTGCAGCAGGCTGTTTGTAGAGCTTCCAGGTGAAAAACCAATTCAGTCTCTTGCAAAGTGCTATCACTTGGCTCAGGTAAGATGTGTTCAGAGCAAATTCCTCCAGGAAAGATCACAGGTGTTTCATCAACCTTCATTGCTCCACCTGGATTCCAGGTCTTCCTTTCCATCATATCCAGGTAGCCCATCCCTGCAGTATTTGAAAGGGAGCGATACACACGCTGCTGATGTCCTGGCAAATGGGAAAAGGGATGTACACCTGAGAACCAGCCTCATGGAAGATGTGCCACTTTGTCCATTAGAGAGTTAACAAAAAGTCAAACTGAGTTTTATGAAACCATGACACAGGTTCAAAGAACAGAGGAACAAATCATTATGGTTTCACACAAGTTTACTTATTTCTGTGTAAATTTTAACCCATAATAAAGATCAAAATTCTAATTGTAAAGTTAAAACTTTTTTCTCACTGAAAAGCCTTATAATTGTGAAATTCTTATCTAGGTATGATATATTTCTAATCCAGTTTAATATGCAGAGTCATAACCCCACCTACTTTAGAGCAGCTACTTTGAAGAAAGATTGAAAGTCTGAAGCCAGCCAGGGAAATTAAGTAAGATTCTCTCTTAAAATGAAAAAAAAATATAGGTGAGGGATAGAATATCCTTCAATATAATGCCTAGAGTCACACACACCAAAAAAAATTAATGTAAATATTAAAAATTTAACTCTTGCCAATCAACAGTGTCAATGTTAACATTTGGAAAAAAGATTCATGTAAAAGACCCTAGACTGCTGGCTCCAATTTTAAATTCCAGTATCCAGTTTCAAAACATTCATCATTCATCATTCCATGGACTCTGTTTATCACTGAAAAACTAACCTTCCAAAATCATGTATTTGTGCAATCATGGGTGTGATGTAAACTATCATAAGCTGGGGGAACAAACAAGGCTTTTGGTATTATCACAACAAAGAAGCAGGCAGGAATTTCCCATTTAAAGTGTCCCTTCAGAGAAGCCATGTGGACCAGAGCAAGTGGGTACATGCAGATCCCAGCCAGGAGCCTCCCCTGAAAAGAGTTGCACAGGCCAGGTGCACAAGCAACAGCCAGAGATCCACAGATTCCATCAGTAAGTGTACACAGATCCCAGTGAGAGGCCCACACAGCCAGAGCTGAGCTAGTACACACAGGTCCCAGCCAGGGCCCCACCCAGACCACAGCAGCTTGGGTCCACAGGCCTGAGCCAAAGGCCCACCTTGAAAACATCTACACAAGTGGGCAAGCAACAGGCAGAGGCCCACCCAATACCGTTGATAAGTGTGTGCAGACCTCAACCAGAAGCCTGCTAAGACAACAGTAAGTAGGGGGCACAATCCCAGCCAAAGGACCTCCCAGACAGCAGCTATGCAGGGGCCAGGCCCCACCCACAGGCACGCCCACATGCCATCCCAAATGTGCACTGGCTCCAGCCAGAACCCTGCCCAGACAACAGGCAGTGCAAGGATCTAGAAGGCCAACATTCTGAACCCAGCAATTGGCACAGGAGTAAGCAGCAGAGAAAAGGCCTCTTAGTGGCTTGCTGAAAACTGAAGACCACTTGGCAAGCAAAAATTTACCTCAACAAAGATGAGCAGGCTGCATCTGTTGAAATGAGAAGACACATAAACAAGTCTCAAAACCTGAGGCAACCCAAAAGGGTAATGAGATGGAACAATCTGATACTCAACCACCTGGACTCCCTGAACTGGCAATGAAAGAGGATCTGGAAAAAATGAAGTCAGAAATAATTTCTTGGATAACAACAAAGATTGTGTCCATAGTGCAAGACATGATTAATAACTCTAGAGCAGACCCAGATTTTTTTTAAAAAGAAAAGGAGCTGAGGAACAGGATGGAATTCCTGCATAAGAAATAAATAGAATCTATAAAACAGATTCAAACAGATATCCAGGACATTAAAAACTATTGATAGTTTATGCAGGAGAATGAGCCAATGTGAGGACAGAATATCAGATATAGAAGACAGGATTGCAGTTGGTGATCAGGAAAAGAAAACTTTCTTAAAAGTAGAGAGGCCATGAGAAATCAATCCAGCAGCTGCTAGATGATGCAAAGAATAAAATAAGACTGATCAGAGTCAATGAAGAGACAGGAGAGAGTGCAGGTGACATAAAAAAATTGTTCATGGAATTAATGGCAGAAAACTTCCCAAGCAGGGGAAATGAACTTGACATACATATAAGTGAGGCATATAGGGTTCCAACTAGCTGAGATCAAAAAATTCTACACTGAGGCATATAATAGTTAAGATCACAGAAATCCAACAGAAGAACAAAATTCTACAAGCAGTGAGAGGAAAGAAACAAATCACATACAAAGGAAAGCTCATCAGAATCACAGCAAACTTCTCAACACAAACACTTTAAGACAAGAAGAGCCTGAAGTGAAGTATTTCAAGCCCTAAAGGAAAACAACTGCCAACCCAGATTGATGTACCCTGCAAAACTGTCTTTCCAAATTGATGAAGAAATAAGATACTTCCATGACAAAGAGCACCTGAGGAACTTCATTAATACCAAACCAGCAATCCAAAAAATTTTAAACAATATCCTAGGAAAAGACAATGAGGATCACAACCCCAGGAAGCCCAGCAGAATGAATCCATCAGGCATAACAAAAAATTAAAAGTAAAGGGGGAGAATCCAACAAAAAGAAAAAGTCACAGCAATAAGTCAATCAAAAGAAGTAAACTGGCAGAATGGGTCAAAAAGCAAGATTCAAAAATATGCTGCCGCTGGGCATGGTGGTGCATGCCTATAATCCCAGCACTCGGGAGGCTGAAGCAGGAGTACTGCTGTGAGTTTGAGACCAGCCTGGACTACACAGTGAGTTCCAGGTCAGTCTCAACTCCATAGTGAGACCCTGTCTCAAAAAACTAAACACACACACACACACACACACACACACACACACACACACACAAAATATGCTGCATAGAAGAAACACAATTCAAAAAGAAACTCATGGACTGCAAGTTAATGGGTGAAAAACAATACTCCATGCAACAGGAACCCCCCCAAAAAAGGAGTAGCTATCATATTTGCAGATCAAATGGATTTCATATGAACACTAATAAAGGAGACAAATAAGGACATCACATACTTGTAAAGGGAAAATCCAAGAGGAAGAGAAGACAATCATAAATAGATATGCACCAAATACTACTGTGCCCAACTATATAAAACAAATACTAATAGACATAAAAAATCAGATAAGTACTATTACAATAGGGAAACCATAGGGA